GGGATACGCAGCGTGGGGGAGGTACATTGTTTCTCCCCTCCATACTAGTCTATCTGAAACAAGTATACAAGACGAGTGTGGAAGAGCCAGTGGTCGGCAAACCACAGCTCGCGAGCCACATGCGGCTCTTTGGCCCCTTGAGTGTGGCTCTTCCTAAGCCTTAGGAGTACCCTAATTAAGTTAATAACAGTGTACCTACCTATATAGTTTATGTTTAAAAAATTTGGCTCTCAAAAGAAATTTCAATCGTTGTACTGTTGATATTTGGCTCTTTTGACTAATGAGTTTGCCAACCACTGCCCTAGGCCCACTCTTAAACAAGTGTGGTTCTGTCCATCTTTCCTAAGAAATATACAAGCTATACGGAATTTTAGAATTACATTAGTGTGGAAAGGTATTCTTTTTGGTGAACATTAAGCACTTCTGCTATTAAAGTTTTCCATCATATGTATTTAAAAAGGAAACAAATTGTCACCCTATTAATAATGTGTTAATGTTATCTAAGCATATTATTTGCACATTTGATTGTAAGCCATCAATAAGTGCTTTCCATAAGATCTTTCTTAGCAGAAAGAAAAAAGGCAGGAGTGTATTTGTAATTATAGAAACATGCACAATGTACTTAAAACAGCCCAGGCAGGTGTGATTTTATAATGTTAAGTAATAAGAAATATATTAAAATAAATATCTCTTCCTTATTAATAATTGCTATTTCTATAAGGAAGATAGGTGGAAAATTTTATCTGGAGGTTATACTTTTAAATAGCTATATTAAAAGCAGTTATGAAATGACTTTTGAAGTCTGGATGCAATTGAAGTGAATTTGGCCAGGCCATTTCCATCACAATAGGATTTTTGAAGTGAGTACAGAAGGGGAAAAGGCCCATTATAGACAGCTCACCTGATCCAGCCCTAGAGATAATGTGATATTGTTCCATACAGTAATGTCTGCAGGGCTTTATCCAGATTGGTCTGAAATTGATACCCAGAAAAATGCACAGTTCTAATAACCCTCTTCCTTTATTTTTAGCTTGAAAGCCTATTTCCTAATGGCAGTAATTACTAGTCTCCCTACCCATTTATCTTCCATTAAAGATATAAATGAAAGCAGTATTTTGGGACCACCATGCATAGGGAAGAGTTGCGCCCAGATCCTAGGTGCTAAAAAGGTGGGAGTAATGTTATATCATGCACTTTTTTTATAAAGAAAAAGTTTCACCCTGGCCAATGTGGCTTAATTGGTTGAGTGTCATCCTGTTTCATGCACCAAAAGCTCACTGGTTAGATTCATAGTCAGGGCACATGCCCAGGTTTCGGTCCCAGGGCAGGGTGTGTATGGGAAGCAACAGATCAACATTTCTCACATCGATGTTTTCTCTCTTCACTCTTCTCTCTTCTCTCTTTTCTCTTCTCCTCTCTCCTCTCTTCTCCTCTCTTCTCTCTTCTCTCTTCTCTTCTCTCTCTCTCTCTCTCTCTCTCTCTCTCTCTCTCTCTCTCTCTCCCTCTCCTTTTCCCTTTCCCTTCCTTTCTCTCTAAAATCAATTTAAAAACATATTTTGTTTATTTTCATCACAAGCAGCACATAGACTATATAGAGCACACACCAACAAAAGTTTTAAAAAGATACAAATGTATCTTCTGAAAATTCACAGTACAAAAGGTACTGCTTTTAAATGTATAATATTTAAAAAAACAATATAATAAAATAATTAAGATCACTATGCAACATGCTGGAATAAAGAAACTGTCACTATTATGGGCAGCTTCTGAAACCAAAAGGCAACCCATCTTGGAGCTCTTAATTTGGGGAGGAGGGGCTTCTATACCTACATTTTGTTGCAAAGAGCTCAGGACACCAACAGAGAGGAAAACAGGGTGGCCTAGGTGGCAATAAAAATCTCTATTAAAGAAGAGTACAACTGTGTGATGAGGGGAATGGGGAAGGGTTGAGCTGTGGTCCAAAGGGAGCCTGGACTGTGCCACCCCCACTCCAGCTGGCTAGCACACCAAACACACCAACTTCTAGTCTTTTCTTACTACTACAGAACACAGCATGCACTTTTTATTGAATTGACTGGGGTGACACTGCTAAATAAAATTGTATAGGCCTCAGGTGTACAATTCTATAACACATCATCTGTGTGTTGTATTGTGTGTTCACCACCCCAAGTCAACTGTCTTTCCATCACCATCAGCATGCACTTTTCAAGCCCCAACTCATCTGGCGTTTGGTAAAATAAGCTCTATCCCTACGAAAATAAAGAGGAAGCTGAAAAGTGTGGAGGTGAATTGTTCCAAGGGGATACTAGTACCCTGGCATTACACAGGAATGTACCTTTCCTTGAGTCTCATCTGTAGAGAGGACTACTGTATCTTGAGCAGAAAACAGACCTCAATGGGTCTCCAGATGTAAATTAATGTTTGAGATTCAGTGTCATAATCTCTATCCTAATTGTTACACTACTGCATTACTCCAATTAAGTCATGGGGAAAAAAGAAAACTCAGAAAGGCACGATGTAAAAATATTAGAACCTGAAACAATGTCTTCCTATAGACTGCATCAGTGCCAACAATGGTCGAAGTGTTTTCCATAACATTTTCATATATTTAACAGTTGGTGCAGCCACCTCCAAGGAAGATCATCTGGGTTCCTTTGATTCTATGGACTGCTACTGATCTCATCCTCTTGCTTTCTCGGAACTCCAGGGACCACCAGCCTCTGTATATGATAAACAGGCACTGCCCTTCTTGGTACGTCAGCAGACACATAAAGTAAAGAGAAAGAAATTAGGGAAGAGAGAGATCTGGGAAGATGCCCTTAGGAATCCTTGTCACAAGCAGGTTAGATAGCATCCATCATGGGCATCACTATTTGCAATCCATGTATCCTACATTCTGAGTGTAAACTGTTTTGGATAAAACAAGAAAGCAGTCATTGAATTAGGTCGCTGAATAAGTAGATGAACAGCTGATGGACTCCATTTGAACTTCTCAAATTAACTGAGGAGATGTTTAGGGATGGGGTAAGGGCTGAAGGCTAGTAAAAAAGTGGATGTTGTGATTCAACATGAAATATTGTGACCTCATTTGCCCCCAACGCCTCTGTGGATTGTAACTTACCAGTCACTAGCTCTAAAACTAGATCATAAACCCTTTGAATTTAAAGTTTATATCATTCACCTTTATATCCCCAAACAGAATACAGTATTTAGGACACAGAAGGAATCCATTAAATGTCAGTTAAATGAATATCTAAATATCGAATCAATATAAAAAAATGTACACCTATCTACCACAAAAACTAGAAGGACAGGCTCCACTTTTAACTGTGTCTTTATTATTAGGGTAACTAGAGACCCAGTGCACAAAATTCATACAGTGGGGAGAGGGGTGAGCACCCTCAGCCTGGCCTGCGCCCCCGGGGATGTCCGACTGCCGGTTTAGGCAAAATTGGGCCTAAACCGGCAGTCAGACATCCCTCTCACAATCGGGGATGCTGCATGCACCAGTGACCATACTTTCATATAGGTGAAAGGCATCTTGCTGTTGTACGGGCAGCTACATTATTTTGCCCTGATTATAAAAAGTAGTATATAACATGATCCTTCTGAGACAGTAGTGCCATTTTCCCCATCTTCTGGGTGGAAAAACTGAAGCAGAGAGAAGTTAAATAATTGGCTTTGTCACATAGTTATAAGTGTCAGAATCAGGGCTGACCACAAAATGTGCAAACCAGAGTCCATGCATGCCAATGCTGCATTATCCTGTTTTTTCAGGGTTAGAATAGCCTTGCCAGGTTTTAATTTTTAAATCTAAGAGACTATTCCCAATATATAGGGTAGGGTCCCTAGGCCTGGCCGGCGATCAGGGCCAATCTGTGGGGCAACCGAAGGATGGGGTGATCGGGGATCCCCACTGGCACCCGCCTTGGCTGGCAGCCTGCATTGAGTGTCTGCCCCTTGGTGGTCAGTACGCATCATAGTGACCAGTCGTTCTGCCATTCATTCCGCTGTTCAGTCGATTTGCATATTAGGGTCTCATTATCTACACTAATAAAAGAGAAAGATGCAAATTGACCGTACCATCATGACGCCCCACAGTCAATCAGGAGTATGCAAATTAACCCGATAAAGATGGCAGGTTAATTTGCATATGCAGGTGCGAAGTGGCTGGGGGCGGAGCAGCCACTTGCACACATGCTGGCGCCAAGCATCCTGGGTCCCGGGGACAGGCATTTTCGGGAGCCAGGCCGCTCTGGGCCTGTAGGCCTGTGCTTAGGCCTGGAGCGGCTGGTGTCCCGGAACACTCCCGGCCACTCTGGGCCTACGCGCTCAAGTGCCGAGTGGCCGGGGGCAGGGTGGGAAAATCCCCGGGACCCAGGCGCTTCAAGCTGGCGTACACGCAAGCAGCCAGGGGTGGGGTGGGAATGTCCCCCGCAGCAAGCGAGCAAACAGCAGGGCTCTGCTTGCCCCTAGCCATGGCAGCAAGGGGCAAGTAGTCCCCCGCAGGGCCCCTACAGAGAACAGACAGCAGGGCCCTGCTTGCCCCTGGCCCCGGCAAAGAAGGGCAAGCAGGCCCCCACAGAGAGCAGACACCAGGGCCTGCGGAGGCATAAAGCAGGCAGGTCTGCACAGCAGAGAACCACAGGGAGCAGGCCTAAGCCATCAGTAGCACATCCCCTGAGGGCTCCCAGATTTGAGAGGGTGCAGGTTGGGCTGAGGGACCACCACCCCCCCCCGCATGAATTTCATGCACCGGGCCCCTTGTATAGGATAATCCTCTGTTCTCAATGCTCTCTGGACTCAGGCAAGAAAATAAGTTTGGAACAAGAAAATGGTAAAAAAAAAAAACCATTTAAATAAAAGAAAATACATTTTTAAAAAACTAAATGTCTTTGGGTGATAATGTGTCAGTGTAAGTCCATCAATCGTAACACATGTACCACCGTGGTGCAAGATGTCGATAGTGGGGGAGGCTGTGTGGGGGGAGGCAGAGCAGAGGGTATATGGAAACTGTACTTTCTACTCAATTTTGCTGTGAAACTAAAACTGCTCTAAAAAATAAAGTTTATTAATTTAAAAATAGTAACTATTAGTCTGGAAATGATGAAAACATATACAGGCAAAGCCAGGCATTTTCCCAAGGTGTTCATTCTGGCATTGTTTCAGCATTTCACATATATTACCTCCTTTAATGTTCTATAAACTCCATGAATAAAGAGTTAATATTCTTTTGTTTTCTTTCAGAAAAGAACACAGAGTTATGTGGTGTCTTTTCCAAGGTTTCACAGCTACTTAGTGGTAGATGTGGGATTTGAACCCAGGCCACCTGACTGTAAGGTTGATACTCTCAACTACTGCTCTCTGCTACCTCACAGATGTGTGTTGCATCTCCACAGGAAGTGAAACTGACTACATCTTTATTGCATTCACTAAAAAAGTTTTCATTTCCTTATTACATAAATCAGAAAAAAATTGCATGGCTCCAGTTTGACAAATACCTGGAAAATTAAACACACACACACACACACACCACATGTAATTTGGAGTCTGATGTCTGTCCTTTTGAAAGTCTAGTATCTTCTTCAAAACTCGGGAACTACAGGGCTTAAATGCTATCACAATGACCCTTTTGTTATTATTCCAAGATTAGAACTCCCTGGACCCCTGGGAGATAACTAGCCATGTGTGATTTCCAGTTCCTCATCACAACATCAAATAAAACCCCACATAGTAGAACCTTCGTCAAGTGGAGCAGGTGTTAGTGGAGGATGATACAATCAGATTCCACCCTTATCTCCATGCCAGCAAGCCCCAGCTGTTCCTCACTAGAAAGGATTTGCCAGTCTCCTGCAGGACAAAGAAAAGTAACTCAGAAAAGAGAGGGCTCACAATGGCAGGAATACCCAGCGCAGGGTGACTATAGCAATCAACAGGGCTTTGTGCATCCAACACATATGCTACTCAACATTAGAAAGTAATACCGAATGAGCGATGTTTATTGGATTGGCCTCTAAAACCGACAAATGCCCAATCTCAGAGCTGATGAAAAAAATTAGCTTGCTGCTAAACACTAAATGGATCAATAATCTATTAACTGTAACCTTGTTAGCAGGAGCTTGCATACAATACGTGGCCTGCCTTTTTAAAGAACCCGTCTTCAGCGTCTTTGATGAAATTAATTTTCTTTTACTGTATTCAGCAAAGATATGCCTAATTCTCCATATTAACTCCAAATGCCTTTTTCAAAGGCTGTTCACCTTCAAGTCCTTTCAAGACCATGACAAATGTACCATTTCATTCAGATGCTAATGGCATGATTTTTATTTCGGGGGCAGACGCCACAGCAGAGACTCGGACAATAGTCGGTAAACCTCCCCAGTCACGATGAGATGGGATGATGCCCTTGGTGACAAACCATCTCCACAAGGTCATTGTCTTATCAGCATAAACATGCTCATCCACACACGCCTACAGGCAAGAGTGAGAGAAGAGTCAGCAGATGCCCGTGCAGAAAACGTTCTGATGGGGAACTGCAGGGCTACTGGGAATACATTGCTGGAGTGTGTATAATTTTAGGGTGAAATTTTCACATTCCTACAGGTTAAAAGAGAGCTTATCTTATGAAATAAAGGTGTGTTGGGGGTCATAAAGAGTCTGCTAAGTAATCTTGATTCTTTCTTTCTATGCTGTTATTATCTCCCTCATCAATGGCAAGCCCTATGTATGAGTGAGAGACCAGATTGTGTAAGCAAGTAAGTACACTATTCTAATGACCTTGTGGCCACCAGGGACACTTCCTGGTGTGGGTATGTTTCAGGCAGCCCTATGAAGGCAAACATTGGTTTCTTATAGTAAACCTAGGTTCCTGCTATGGCCCAAACCTGCTCACCTAAAGGCTGGGAGGAGGAGGTTCCAATGCCTCCTTGTCTTAAAAAGGTAGGAGAGGGAAGAACAAAATTTATGAAAAAAGTATATTCTCATAAAACTAACATATAGATATAAAGAGAAGACCTTGCTAAAATAAAAGCCAGGACCTCACAGCATGTACAGTGAACAACTATTGAAATGATTATCCAAGGAGGTTTCATAAACCCTTTGAGCAAATTAGCAAATATTACAAGAAAGAAAGTGCAGACTAGTCTTAGCATCAGCCAAATGTTTGTGGGGCCTTCTGGAGAGTAAAGAAGAGTAGAGGATTGCCAATGGGAGTGTAAAGACTCCTGAGTCAGCAGAAATCCTCTGGCAACAAGCTTCCAGCCCGTATCTTCTACAATGTTCTGCCAAGTACTAAAGATATGAGTGAAAAGTGACCATCCTTACTCTTAAGAGTTTTAAAAAGGTTGGCGAGGAATAGTCCAGCTTCTAGATGGATAAGGCCACCTATAGCAAAAAGGTGGGACGATGAGTCCAAATGGTTTAGACCAGCAGTCGCCAACCTTTCGGACCTCATGGACTACCAGTTGGCGATCACTGGTTTAGACAGCCAATTTTAAGGCAAAAGCAAAATCCAAGAATCATCGGCATTCCTGTGGCACCTTAAAAGGAAGGACAAGTGGAACAGAAGTAAAGTGAGACTCTTGGTCTACAAAGCCTGTCTGTAAGTTTAGTCTGAGAGAGAGAGAGAGAGAGAGAGAGAGAGAGAGAGGTATCATCTTTGGAGAATCTGAATTAAGTCTATTCAGTTTTCACAATCATGCCAAATTCTCCATGTTTATTCAAATTTTTGCAACATGCCACTTTATATTTATAAAGCAGGCATAATTTCAGTTATTATATAGATATAGAGTTATAAATTTATTTTTTAGATGCAACATAACATGATGGAAAAAAGCAAAAACAACACAGGTTTTGGAATGAGACAAACCATGTAGTTAATTTCTGTTATTTACTCAGTATATATATGAAATCCTGCCATTTGCAACAACATGTATGATTCTGGAGGAGATTATGCTAAGTGAAATAAGCCAAGCAGAGAAAGAGGAATACTGTGTGATTTTGTTTATATGTGAAAACCTAAAAATGTCAAACTCATAGAATCAGAGAGTAGAAGAGTGGTTTCCTGGGTCTGGAGGAGAGGAATGAGGAGACCTTAAGCAAAGGGCACAAACTTTCAGTTATAAGATGAATAAGTCCTGGGTATCTAATGTATAGTATGGTGACTATCCTATATAATAAGAGAGGAATATGCTAATTAGCCGTTACATCCTGAGGCATAATAACCAAGTGCGTCCAAACCACATCACGGATCAGCAGGAGGGTGGGCCAGCGAGGTACAAATGGGGGCTGCGGAGAGCTATAGGAGGGGGCAGAGCAACAAGCTATGAGGGGGGGAGAAGGAGGGGAGATGGTGGTAGGGGGAGCTACAGGAGGGCAGGGCAGCGGGCGGAGAGCTATAGGAGGGCGGCAGCGACCTACTGGCGCACAGATTCATGCGCAGGGCTACTAGTAGTTAATAATAATTCTGTATTGTATACTTAACATTTCCTGAAAGAGTAGCTCTTAATCGTTCCCATCACACACACACACACACAAAGAGGTAACTATGTGAGGTGATGAATGTGTTAATAAGTTTGATTGTGTTAAGTCTGCCAGAATGCCATTTTAGTGCTTTTAAATGCATTTCACAGAGCTGAGCTGATTTTTAATTTCATTTCTATCAAAAAAATAATCAAAAAATCATTTTATGAACCTGTCTGTTAAATACTGGAAGCTGCAGGCGATTATAAAGAAAAGTAATCCACAGTAGATGACCTCAACGACATTACAATCCAGTTGTGGGGACACGGACACACGGACACACACACACACACACACACACACACACACACACCATTCATGAAATGAGTACACAGTAACAGATGAAAAATTACTCAGTATATATATGAAATCCTGCCATTTGCAACAACATGTATGATTCTGGAGGAGATTATGCTAAGTGAAATAAGCCAAGCAGAGAAAGAGGAATACTGTGTGATTTTGTTTATATGTGAAAACCTAAAAATGTCAAACTCATAGAATCAGAGAGTAGAAGAGTGGTTTCCTGGGTCTGGAGGAGAGGAATGAGGAGACCTTAAGCAAAGGGCACAAACTTTCAGTTATAAGATGAATAAGTCCTGGGTATCTAATGTATAGTATGGTGACTATCCTATATAATAAGAGAGGAATATGCTAATTAGCCATTACATCCTGAGGCATAATAACCAAGTGCGTCCAAACCACATCACGGATCAGCAGGAGGGTGGGCCAGCGAGGTACAAATGGGGGCTGCGGAGAGCTATAGGAGGGGGCAGAGCAACAAGCTATGAGGGGGGGAGAAGGAGGGGAGATGGTGGTAGGGGGAGCTACAGGAGGGCAGGGCAGCGGGCGGAGAGCTATAGGAGGGCGGCAGCGACCTACTGGCGCACAGATTCATGCGCAGGGCTACTAGTAGTTAATAATAATTCTGTATTGTATACTTAACATTTCCTGAAAGAGTAGCTCTTAATCGTTCCCATCACACACACACACACACAAAGAGGTAACTATGTGAGGTGATGAATGTGTTAATAAGTTTGATTGTGTTAAGTCTGCCAGAATGCCATTTTAGTGCTTTTAAATGCATTTCACAGAGCTGAGCTGATTTTTAATTTCATTTCTATCAAAAAAATAATCAAAAAATCATTTTATGAACCTGTCTGTTAAATACTGGAAGCTGCAGGCGATTATAAAGAAAAGTAATCCACAGTAGATGACCTCAACGACATTACAATCCAGTTGTGGGGACACGGACACACACACACACACACACACACACACACACACCATTCATGAAATGAGTACACAGTAACAGATGAAAAACAAATGATAGTCACACCTATTGAGGGCCCACAGAACTTGGCACTTTGCAGAGGTGATCTTGCAGCTCACAAACACTTTGAAAATTCACACTTAGTTTTTCCCCATTTTCTAAGTTAGCAAACCGGGCAGGACCAAGACTGTCCGACATCAAAGCTCTTTCTACTAAAAACAAAGCAAATGTAAAATTCTGGATTTCTCTTCATGTTCTTATTCAGTTGAGGTCTGG